ACTATTATTCTAATGATACAAGCGTAGAATAAAAATGTTGCGTACTACATTTCACTCGCTGTCTTAGTCTTTGTATAATTAAGTGATTATGTGACAAATGTATAATAGAAAAATAAAACACACACAAGAGGAAAAGTTAAGTTCATAGAGATTAATTATTCTAGAATAAAAACTAATTCAAAATAGTAGAAGATAGAAAAAAAAGTTTTACTATGTAAATTTTACAATCTTTTAATAAAAACTTTTATAACATTTTTTTATTAATATTGTCAATGAAAAATGCAAAATTAATAGGATAAATTTTGATAGGAATAGATTATCGGAAAAGAGAAACAGCGACACACAGCTTCTTTATTTTTCGACGGTTTATTTCTGATTATTGTTAAATCTTACAAAAGAACATATAATACATATTACAGCGCTTGTGATGGTAAATCCATAAATAGACTAAACCTAATTTATTATTGTTGCGTCTATACTTAAGATCTTAAATTAATAGTATATATGTAAAAAAAAATCATTGCATTCTCCCAAGAAATACTTTCATTATAAAATAGATCCGACATATATTGAAGCGCATATGTCGAATATGAAATCTTACTTCTTTAATAAATAAAGTTACTCGAATAAAAACGTCTTCTAATATAGCGATACATATTAAAAGTCATATGAAAATCGAATAGACAAAGTCGGGAGACTTACAGAGTGAATAATAGAATAACAGAATTAGCAAATTGTTCAATTACCTATCTTAATTATTAATATTCTAATTGAATTTGTAATCCATTAGCCAATTAGTTTTAATTTTATGATAACCTTTTTTCCTGTTCAATAGATTTATTAATATATGAAAGAATGAATAGGAGAGTGAGAAAAAGAGAAAGAAGGAAACCCTGTGGAAAATTCACAAGGTCCCATTTTACTATGACTTATAGCGACTCGGGACAGTGTACTTGTTCATTCATTTATCAGATTCAATTACCTAGTTTATTTTACTTAGTGCGATCAGGCAGATCATAAATTGTGTACGAGAGAGATTCCTAACAGCTAACACCAAAATTTTCTTAACTTTTGTATCTATAAGATAAATGTCTTATATGATCGGTATCTTCTTTTTTATATTCTGTTCAATAAATCTTGCTTATCACTTGTTTTTAACGGAAATATCTATATTTATAATTAATAATCCTAATAAAAAATTCCTGAATGTTTCTTAGACTATGTGCTTCAGATTAAATAAAAAAAAATTAGATAATAATATCTTACTTTATTGAAAAATTACGGCTCTAAATATGTTTATTTATGGTTTAATTTTATATCTTACGAATGATTCAATAACGTGTTATGTACGCAGTACTCCGGAACACTTTAATTTATACGCGCATTTCTTTTAACTGACAACAGGTGTCATGCCGCATTATGGCATCGAGCGAACAGCAAGATTCGACTTGGTAAAGAAAAAAATTTTTCATAGAAAGAAAAAGATAAAAATCTTTATTTCATGTGTGTGTGTGTATGCGTGTGTGCGTGTGTGTGGTAATTTTTTAAATGTTATATCATGGCAGTTTAATAACATAAAACTTGATAATTTAATTTACCACTTTAAGTTGTAATAATATAAAAAAGTATGTGATAAATTATATTATAAGTTCGACAAACTATATAAATGAAAAATAAATTAACATTATAACAGCTTCTTCATAAAAAATAATACTTTATATTTAAACATACATATATTTATATAAAGCAATAATGAAAACAATTTATATTCAAATAATTCATTTAAAAAAATAATTTAATGCATTTTTTATTGCTCTTATACCATATAGTTCGTCGTAACATACTTAAATTGTTCTATTACTGATATTCCTTTTAATTAATTATAAAATCTCTTTTCTCTGCAATGCGATCTATAAATATAATTCGAAAAGATTTAATATGATGAAAGAAAGACACGTCAAATTTTTTATCAAACATGGTAAAACTGAAATTAAATTTCTATTACGATTTATTTTTGAAAGATCAAAAGAGATGTCAAATAAGTAAGAATAATAAATACTTTAATAAAAGTAATATGAAATTGTTGTAAAAAAAAAATTTAATTGTAATTAAATGTTTTCTTTATGAAAATTGTAAATCTTAAATTAAAGCACTTTTAAATTAAACTCGCAACCTTTTTAATTAAATATTTTTAGCCATAATTTTGGTCGAAATCTAAATTAAATTTATGACATTTAAAGAAGCTTGTAGTTTATAATTATACAAAAGGTCTCGATAATCGATCTTCTTGCTTTCCCTACGATATCGTTTTGCGACTTGACGTTTCATATATTATATAAACATTATCACGATACTATGACAACGCATATACTATGACAAATAACACCTCAACATTATTAATAATTCTTTTCCTTATCATTGTTCCGTAGGGATAGGCTATGTTTCACGTTATCCATATCGTGCGTTTTTTACTAATTGATTGTTGCTAATTACGTCTGTTCGCTCCAGTTGCGCTTTTCGTTTTCAATATCGTCCTTTTTCTCTTCTATCTAAAGATTAAAATATAAGTCTATTTAATTTAAAACTTGTACGCAAAAAGCACAAGAAAGTGCACCTCAAACAAACAGATCGTCCTAGACGTAATCGTTGTGAACTTGCTTCCTAAATGTTGCGCACACACAAAAACGTTACGATTATAATCTTATAAGAGGAATGATAAAAACGCTTAATGCTCGAAAAATTTCTTGTTTTCAGTCTCATTTCTTATACCAAGAAATATATTTTGTAGGATAAAAAGTATATATTTCTTGTATTAAGTATTATATCAATTAGACACACAAGGATGATTAAACAAAATATATTAAATAATTTGCATACAATTGAATCAGTTATTATTAAACGCACATGATTAAGTTACCATTTTCACGAAATTAATATAACATAGGTTACATTACCATTTCTTGGTTAATAACAATCCACAGTAAGTGCTACATTAAAAGAAAGAATTAATTGGATCACTAATTATAAGAATATTGAACTGTTTATAAGCAAATGTTACGAAAAAAGTATGACTATTACCAAATCTTCTTTGAAGTATTTTGTAATTGATAAGCATTTATTTATATCTCTATAAATCAAAAATGGACTAAAATGCACGATAAAATTAAAGAAAAAAAAGTTTCTTATTATTTTCCAAAAAGCTTGTTAGCATGACTCATGCATTTTCGTAATCAACTAATTCAATTGCTTTCTTCTTAATTTCTTTTCTTGATCAATATCGAAATCAGCAATATAAAATCTTTAACTTTTATAATCATATAGTGTATATCTTAATTTTTTTTTTAAATATGTTAATCATATCAATTTTGATGTTTTATAGTCACACCGTGCCTTTAATTTTTTTTTAATTGTACATCAATTCTTGATATTTTTGATATCGAGTCCTATACAAGGATCCAAATCCATTCATCTGTTCATCATATATGATCTATTGACTTAATATAAAAAATATGTATAACTTATCAAATAATAATAATAATGCACTCAAATCTCCGTATTCTTAATATATTAGGATAGAGAATAATCTCCATCAAGCCCTTAATTTGATTTCGATAGCACATGCGCAGATTAAAAATGTCGCTGCGTTTATTGTGCTATTAGCAAATGAGATAATGATTACGTATGATATTTTTCATAGACAAAACATTTATTTATTCATAATCGATAAAAATATAAATGGATTGACCGATTTCCATGCCAATAAAGCTTTGAAGAGGAAGCCAAAATAAATAAAATGAGAAAATAATTGCCGTATCTCTTTCTCTCTGAGAAGCCTGCGCGTTGACATTCGATGCTCGTGATATACGCATGCATACATTCGTGCATAAATAAGAAAGACTCCTATTTACTAAGAAACATTTATAATATCCTTCTTCCTATGGCACTCTCCGTCTGTCATTCTAATTATGATCGAATGATTCATTCATGATCATATGATAAAATATGATAGCATATATTATATGTATACAGTAGCATAGGGATAGGTGTTAAGAATACGGAGTTCATAAGTATTATAATAAATATAGAGAAGTTAAAAATAGGTATTAAGAATATAAAGATTTATAGATTTATGAATGAAATACTTAAGAGAGAATTGGCTATATAAATAAATGTAATTTTTATAATATTTTAAAAGTTACAAAAAAACAATATTAAAACAAATATTATGTAAATTTATATCAAAATTTTAAAGTTATCTGTAGAACTGAGCGAGCAGAATTGGCAGTGTATTTAATCTGGAGACACGGTAGTATCTCGGCGCTAAGACAAGCGCATATTTTAATTGTAATCTTGTAAAAGGCTATAAAAAATACACAAAGAAAAATAATTTAAAGAGTACATTTATATCAAACCGTTTAAATTATTCTTAAAATTAAGATAAATGGAACTAGTAGAAAAATGGAGATAATTATTATACTATAGTTATAAATAAACAATTAAAAAATTTGCTGTCTAATTTCTCTATCAAAATTTTAATATTTATTCTAAATTGTATTTCTGGCAATTTCTAGCATTTTAAATTTTTATATTGATATTTGGAGCCGTTGTACAGCTGGACCCATTGTCTCGGTCAAAATTAGTTGAATATAATATAACGGACTATGATCTAAATGGTAATATGTAATTACGCAAGCGAAATAGTTAACGAGAAACGGCAGTGTGCGCGGTATTTTTTAATAGTATTCTTATAATACACATCTTCTTTGGTATTTTTATAATACACACATTCAGTAGAATTACGCATATATACTGTACAAATACGGGAATGACGTACAGTATATAAGAGAGCGCATTTGAGCTCGAATTAAATTCGATCAATATGTAAAATAAAACGCTATATGCAACTTTGTTATTTTTAGATCATCATTCACTATCATTTTGGCTTATGTTGAAAAAAACAGTAAACACGTAAATTATTGCGAACGTAAAATGTTGCATCTCGTTATAGTTGGCCCATTAAACTCTGCATAACAACACGTTTCAAATAATGGCGAACGTTTTTATCATATTATCACGTCAAGTACACAAGAGATTTTTAAAAAATTATCAAACTATAAAAATGACGTGCAAATGCAGCCGCGTTTTGGTACTGGAATTGTGATTTAACGATCCCGTCCATCGTGATGCATTATCCATCGATATGCGGTCACGTTCGTGCAACATTTTTAAAGTTTGGACTGTTCGGATGCTTTAAAGAGACTTCATACAACAAACGATAACTGTAAGTGCTTCGAAAAACAGTTTTGAAGGTACGTCTCTTGTTCAGTTAGTTTCCTACGTAAATGCTCACGTGTTCGCACACATACATACAAGCACACACACACACAAATACACATGCATAAACATACACTTTCTTTCACGTCCCGTTTCGTTTATGTGTACGATTTTCCATTCGCTCACTCGAGTATATCGGGACGCCAAATGGCATTTATATCGCTTTAGTTTTAAACGCTTAGCTGCTTCTACGTGAAAAAAAGTATAGCTAGCAATAGCAATGAGGCAACGAGGACGGACTGACCAGCCTGGATCGAGATCGAACCAGAGCTGAACCAGCTGGAGCCCACGCGAGCATTTTCATGGCGGCTGGATGGCTGTTCGGAGGCCATCAAATCCTCACGCTGCGGGCATGGCAGCTCTTCTACCTTCAAATCGAATAGATGCTTTATACAGCACTTCCTATCCTCACGATTGTTCTGTAAATTAAAACCAAAATGATCTACGTAGAATCATTTAATCGATAGAAAGTTTAAACGTTTTGATCAAACGAAAGCTAGATTTATAACATATGCATGCATGTGCAACAGTAGGATTAGATTAATAATGTGCAAAAAAAAGTTTTAATTACTTTTATTATATTATTTTAAAATATCTGATTCTAAATTATATAATTTTTGTTAAACATAAACAGAACTTTGTGCTGTAAATATTTCTTTTTAATTTGACACATACATACAGAAATTTAAAAATTATTCAAAGATATAAAATAGTATTCTATGTATTATAAATTTTTCTTTATAGTTTTAATAATATATTCATAATTTAAAAAATTTTTTTATAATGCTTATATATCGGTGTATTGCTTGTATGCTTATATATCTTCATCGTTTCTTGTAAAAATTCTATACTTGCGCGTAATATAAAAAATATAAAATCTGACATTAAGTTCAACTTGATATATAATAAACGTCTTTTAGTGTTAATTTTATTCTCTTCTAGTGTTAATTTTTTTTTCTAAGCATAAAAGTATAAAAGTTTAAATTACGCTTTAATAGTAATTAAGATTAGCAATTAAGATATTAATGTAAGAAATTAATTTGATTAAGCAACTATTTATAATATTATTGCAAGAGGAATTTCTTGAAAAACCTGATCACATGTATCTATCATTTATATGCAATTAACAAATCTTACCTTACTATGAAAATTCGATAAATTTTCGTCATCGGGTTCATCGAAATAACTACCGCTTTCAGCCTCATCGTCCTCGTTATCATAATCTCTCGAATTATTATCGACATATTCGTCTGTAACATAATACAATAAAATTTCGTTAAAAAAAATTAGAAATGTCAAATGTCATATTAAAGAGATTCTCTCTCTCTCTCTCTCTCTCTCTCTCTCTCTCTCTCTCTCTCTCTCTATCTATCTATCTATCTATCTATCTATCTATCTTTACGATTCTACTTCTGTTTAATGTATATATCTTAATTATTGTAATTAATCATGAAATATGTTTGTAAATATAATAAACATCTATTAGTTTAAATACATTTTTCTAAAATTCGTTGTAAAATATACTCTCTCTTACATATAAAAATTTATACGTACAAAAAGAAATAATTACCCAGAAAACAATTCGGAACATGTAAGACGTTATATATAATACGTCTAAAATATTTTGAAATCTCTTTTACGAGAATTGTCTACAAGATGTCTAAAAGACGTCTTATAAAACGTCTCATGTTTCGATTTTAGACTTCGTGTTATTTGATACTTTATTTTTAACTTTGGTTAGCAAGTATAGATGAAATTAAATTAATTTCTGTGCCTATTTATACATGTAACAGATAGAATTTATTTTTATGTCTCTATGTTGAGAGTACATTTTACATTTTCGACACAAAGATGAAATAAGTTTCGCCAAAAGGCATTTGTACTAGCGCGTATTCACGCATGAAGCAAAACTTACCGGAAATCTCGGGCGGCTGATTCCTCCCCAGGTCTTCCCTGTTGATCTTATGCGTTGCATTATTGCTTTCAAAGAAGCAAGTCAGTTCCTCCAGGGCATCCCTCAGTTTCGTGTTCTTCGTCTCGTTCCGCAAGCCCCAGATCCATGTGAGTTTGCAGTCGCAGATCAGATTGTTTTCTACGCAAATAGGATGATGCACTTTGATCAGTCTATCTTGCTACTTTGATCATTAATATTACTTCAAATCGCCGCAGGTAATTTAATATCCGCAACTTAGAATAAGTGCCTCTCTTTAATGCATTATAATCTTCTATTATTGTTTCTATTATTGTTTCTCTAAATTTACTTGCGAGATATTCAATCTAATTTTTATTTAAAATTATTCTTTAGCAAACGATAAGTTTAATCATTTCTTTGACAGTTTCTTTCAAGACTTTCAAATAGATGCTATATTATAATTTTATTAAAAACAATAATCTATATAGGTACTTACCGCTTAGGTATAAGTGGCCGTTAATTTCGTAGAGATTGGTCATAATTGGTTTAACGTTGTCAAAGGTCACGGTCTTCAATAAATTATCTCTTAGATCCAAAAAGTTAATGCCAGGTGCACCAGCCAAGAAATTCGGCGGCAATGACGTTAGCTGATTATCGTTAAGTTGCAACCTTTGGAGATTGCGCATGCTGTCAAATGCTCTTTCGCTTATGAGTATGATCTGATTTTGATCGAGCTCAAGTTCGGCTAGTTCCGACATCTCGATGAAGCTACGTTCGCCAAGCAAACTAATCCTATTGCCGCGTAGATTGAGACGCTTTAGATTGCGTAGACCGTAAAACATATCGCGCGTAATAACACTGATCTGGTTGTTGCTCAGTTCGAGCTCCTGCAACGAGCCCAGAAATTTAAACGCCTTGTCATGAACAATGGTGATGTTGTTGTGGTTCAAGTTCAGCTTGCGCAAGTTCGGCAAGTTTACAAAGGTGTCTCTGTAACAATTATTTAAAACCATATTGTGCCTATCATGTGTATATATTTTACTGTGTTAATTAAATAAAATTTTTTATTTCTTAATTATATTAATTATTGTTTTCATTAGTCAGTATTCACATTATTAATTGTTTGTGCTTTTTGTATTACGAATTTATTGTTAAGTGAATACATATACGC